TTTTTTTTTTTTTTTTTTTTTTTTTTTTGGAAACCTAATTTATTTATTGGTTGTATTGTTCTCAACTTCTGCAAAAAAACTTTTTTGTCTTGTAGGATCTTGTTTTATTTGATGGACAATCAACCAAAATCGTGGGTGTTTTTTTTTTTTGTTACGTTCGGTATTATTGTTGTTTTCTAAATCACTTCTGTTTTTTTTGCATCAATATTATAGTTGTCTGGCGAAAGAAAAACTGCTTTGCATATTTAGGTATTTGCTCTGTTCAGATGGCTGTCAAGAATTTTAGTTCTGGTTTTGTAAAGCAAAAAACAAAATCTAATAACATTTCTTCTTGAAAAATTTATTTTTTTAGCTGATTACTAATCGATGTACATTGCCATTTCCTCGTCCTCCATTACCTTCTTACTCTTGAATCTCCTCCCCTGTGTTAGCAATAATTACTGCAACATGGTCCTGTAAATATTTGACTTGAAAGTAGCTGCTAGTCTTTTTTATATTTATATTTGCTTTTTCTGTTTATTAGAAGGGAATGAGAAAAGCTTTCAGCCACTACGATAAAAAACTTTTCTTGACGGAAAGGACGGGGGGAGAGAAGTAGAGAGCGTAAATTTTAATTGAAAGTTATAGTTTCGTTTATACTGCACTAATCGTTCGTTAAAGTACGTTTCTGTTAATTGGCATTGAATTGTATAGAACTAACTGAAATCTTTTGGCTTTTACATCTTTAGTTTCACATGTTTTTGCTTGGTTTTTTTGCTTCGCCTATTTTTTACTAGCGATATGGGCTCTTGAATTCTTTTTTTTAACGATGTTGATGCTTCATTAGTCTATCGCAAATTTTATTAGCGGAATCATCAAGTGTTTTCACAGTGATAACCTTAATGAAGTATCAACTGTGGCAATAAACAAATTTTTTTTCAAACACTACCAAATATCACTTGTTTCAGAGCTGTGTGCAGTAAAAATATTCGTGATCTACTCTTTTTTTTGGTGGAACCGAACGAGTCTACCCTCCTACTTTTTCTTCAATTCTTTATTCGAAAAAAAATTTCTTCTACTTCATTATAATCGTTGTTGAACGCACTTATAAATGATGATTGCTTATCGAAAACGACACTGAGAAGACAACAACAACAGTATTAACGACGCCACTAGCAGAAGTAGAAGCAAAGAAACGATCAGTGAGAGCGGTAGAAACAACAGCAATAGTAATAGCAGCAAGAAGAGAATCCATACTAATTTCGGCTTCAGTTTTTCAGGCAAATTATGGACTTCTGCAGTTCATCTTAACTACAGCAGTTTCGCAGTTTTTTTTGGGTACGTTCAGATTTTAGCTCAATTTATCATATTTTGAGGGGACAGTACAGGCGAAGTAAAAAAGTTGTCAGTTGTTTTTTGAGTGAATATTTTGTTGGTAGATGTCATCATGTTCGGTGTTCTATCCAGAAATCAGTGTCTGCGCTGTGGTAGCATCTGTTTTGTTGCTGATAATGCATGGATAATGGTAGCCAGTTAAAAAAGTCGTTTTACGGCATACGTGTAATGAACAGTCTACAGCTGAATAATAGATGTAGTTAGTTGAATG